AGTGAGTGAGTGAGTGAGTGAGTGAGTGAGTGAGTGAGTGAGTGAGTTGTTGTGTGTAAGGCGAGAAGAGGGTGGGGGGATGAAGAGGACTGGGATGACCCGAAAATAAAGAACCCCACACTAGCATGTACGGAAAAAGCGGTCCTGGGATCGCCCACGAAGTACATCGTCTCTCCAAAGCAAAGGGAGAAACCCACGAGGAACCACACAATCGATGCCACTCCCATTGACACGAAGCTCTGCATCATCATGGTAAGCACACTGGTATCCTAGCAATTGACTCTCCTACTTTTTTTCCAACTAGATATGTCCAGTAATTTGAAAAAAGCTTCGTTTCCTTCTGAAGGTTCCAGCCTTCACAAGACCACCATAGAAGAAAGCCAGGCCGGGAGTCATCAATTGAACCAAAGCCATGCAAACCTGCGATTCATGGGCCAGTCAAACAGGCAACAAATGTTGCGCAGCACTGATTGGTGTTGAATGTATGCATGTTGTGTATTGTGATTTCGTGTTATACTTCCATTTGCACACGTTGAATGGCAAAGCTGTTAACATTGCTTCGAAAAGACTCTCCACCTTCCACCGGTACCTGACGACCCCTTTTCTGCCAGCTCAAGACTTGTCTGTCCTTAGATCCTCTGCCCAAAGGTTTTACTTTTGGCGGTTTAGTAGTCAATTGGATTGGACCTAGGGACAGGCAAGAAATGTCACAAACGATTCTTCGCAAAAAGATCTGATCTTGCTTTGCAACAAAACCCAAGAATACACCCCCTGCCATCATGAAAGCAGTGCTGGTCAACTCCACCGCCATGACGTTCAAGAGATTGAAAGCCTAAACAAAAGCGGTAGGTTGTGGATGGGAGATGATGGGAGCACCGTGTAAGCTCTACTAGTGACCTAGTGACTTTTCAGCTGTCATTTTGTGGTGGCAAAGAGCTTCAGGCTAGAAAAAGAAGTTGACATGTTCATGTTCATCTACTACACCACAGTATGTTCTGAGCCTTTGGAGCACAAGCTTCTGACACCCTGGCCTTCGGTGTCCAGCGCGGAAATAGGGCACAAACTAAAAGGCTCAAAACTTGCGCCCAAATGGCAGCGGTGACGAAACAGAACTTCCAAAGGCCTGGCCGGCGCGTTTGATAGATTGTCAGGAGAAGCAGTTCCCTTGTATGTTAGCATGACTGTCTTGGCTACGCCAACTCATTGCTATTATATCGCGGCACATACAAACAGTATTGTCCCTGCATCATGAGTCTGCGATTGCGGACTTTCTTGTGTAACCTTTTAAACGTTTTTGAGCAACTCCCCGTCCACCCAAAGCACTCGCGTCAGTCCACAAGCTCTGGCCCATTGCAGAACACCTTGGTCCGGTGGATTTCACTCAATCGTTTGTAATGTATCACACGTGCATATGTATGACTGTATACACAAACATATTTATATATATATATGTATATGATAGCCCCCACCCCTCATCACCCCCCAAAAAAAATCAAAACATTTATGATCGTTGTTCTGAGTGTCCAAATGATTTTGCATCATTATTGTGTTCCAAAATGTCTGCATGCTTGGCTCTCGGCTTCTTGAAAGGATTTCCTCTAAGACAAAAGGAATCTCTTTGGGGTCCCAGCAATTGTGTACCACGTCCTCTTTTATATGGAAGGACGTTCCTTCAAAGGCAAGGTGTCTCCCGGTTTAAAATCGTTCAATTGAAGTGACATGTTTTGTCAAACACAGGAGAAGAACTACTCAAAAGTCAAAAACAAAACTGCTTGAAGATCATTGTTTACGAAGGACAGGAACTCCTTTTGAGATTCAAGTAATCCACTAACCACAGCACCCTCAAAATGATAGGAATCGCTTTGGTTTCCCTGAATTTGCATGCTAAAGACTTTGCTCTTGACTCTTGACTAGCAATGGATTGCCATCCTGCATCCACATCGCATCTTTACAAGCGCCTCTCCCTGGTGCAAGGAATGTTCGGTTCTTTGAACACCGAATCCTTTGTGAATGTTTCTTCTGATGAGGGACTCACCCTGTCTGAGCATAACATTTCCATTTGGATGCTCCTGCATTCTCGTATATATTCAATTCTTCAACAAAGCTGTCCCTGCAAAACATGTGCCCCCTACAAGCGTTGAGGTAACATTGCTGGAAGACACCTGAATGTTAATTGGTTGTCCAAATGTAAGTCTTTCTAGCAAAGTTGACTGGGATTTAGGTTTGTTCATGTGGGTTGGACACCTGACAAGCTTCTTCGAAAACAAGTTGTCATTATTGACAAGAAGGTTTGCATGATCAGTCTTTGACAGGTTGCAGGATCCAAAATCCTTTGACAGGGACGAGTCTCAATCTTAGTCTTATGAATACCTTGATTCAAAAAGTCAATATGGTTAGGCAATGTTCCGTAAAGGTTTCCATCAACAATACTTTGACCTTTCCAGGGTGGAAACCACTTTCAGAGGAAAGGCTCTTTCAATGCAAAAAGGAGACTATCATGATGATACAAGGTGAGGCCGCTGAGGCCTTCACAAGAAGTAAGATTGCACACAACTCTTGTAAGGAATCTTGCTTCCGACTTAGAGAATTCCAGAAGATTTTAAACCATGATACATTATAACATTTGCTGGAAGTAAGACGTATATAGCAAGATTGCACAAAGCTCTCCTAGATAATCTTATATACTTCCTATTTTCTGGGATTCTCAACAAGAGTTCTGTGCAATCGTACTTCCTACTTCCCCAAACTCTTAAAATGTTTTAATTTGTTCTAGGATTCTCGAAGTACGGACCCTGGGATCCTACTTAGCAATGTGTATACATACATATATATATAGTATATGGTATGCCGTTCGCCACAATGATGCGACCAAAATGCTCACCAAATGTCGTTTCTTGAGGTGGTATTCTCTCTCGCGATCAGTCTGTATATATACACACGTCTCTATGTACTGACCACTGCTCACCATCGGTTCATTGAAATTGTGAGCGAAGTGCCTCAGATCTCAGAAACTAACCCTATTCTGCCAAGTCACATTTGTTGGAGACTCCAGACTCTTGCTTGATCAAGCCTGACAATTTACACGTGAGACTCGTCATTCTTCTCAAACTCCCCTTGTCTGGTCAGTGCGCGTCTGCCAGCTGTTGTTTGGAAAGTGAAGGATCGTTGGCTGCTCTGCGTCTTCCTGGAGAGCCGTCCTCGTTCAAGCAACACAAACATGGTGGAAGATTGCAGTTTGTACGAGGCCAGGTAGTGTGCAGCACCAACCCAAACAATTCACCATTGATATCACGCACAGGAAGAAACGCAAGATTCCGGCGACACATGGCTCACTGCCACCATGCCAATTGTGCAGGTTAATTCGATTAATTCAAGTAAAAAACAAATCAGTGCCTGCGACCAGCTGTACCCTACCTCAAACGTGTATGTGGGACTGTCGAAACTGCATGGCGGTACAATTAGACTCCGAAAGGTAAACCAATGTTTTGGTGCCATACACATCCAAAGCACCAACTAGCAAAGCTCATTTTCGTAGAACAAGTTCCTATCTGGTTGGCAAATCAAAATAGTGCCACTTGGGACAAAGGCCAAGTCTACAAAAACAATTTTGACCTTGTCACCAGAGTCCAAACAATATTCCACTGTCCAACTCTGTGGGAAGGTGGGCGCTGGCACGGAGAAATCAAACGTGAAGCTTCGGAGCTGAGGACGTGAAGCTTACTCCCATTCAACGGAGGCACTTTGTACACATTCAAAACGGCTGGACCTCAGGAGGCAAAAACAAACGGGCGGCACGTAGAACTAGCTTTGATCCTAGTTGCAATCGAACCATTTGCAATTTTGTCCAACGCAAAAGAATACTAGAAGTGCTGGATATGATGCGGTAGGCAACAATTTCAACTGAGCTGGCCAGCTCAAGTTCTTGACCATCTGTGATGCGGTCGGCAAGAATCTCCTTGTCCTTGATCTTCCTGTAGACTAGGGATGGGCCGAGAAATACAAAACCTTTTGCTGACACACTGTAGATATCTTTGCTCTGTGAGGGTTGCTGAAATATTGCAATATCGAAGAATAAGAGAATAAAACATATTGACAATCCTTCAAGAAAGCAATCTAAATACCCAAATGTTTGAGGCCTTGGCGAAATGCAACTTTCCCTCAAGGAACGGAAGAGGCTCGGGGAATGATGACAATACTTCATTCGAGGAACACCTTTACCCAGAAGGATACTTGACTTCTACAACATATGGAGGTCTTGGATGAGGGGAAATTGACAGAGGGTGAGGAGGCGTTAGCTTTGTAAACGGTAAATGAGGAAGGCCTCTATACAAAGGACACCATCATTCTAAGGATGACAAGCCTGCAAAGAAGCAGTATCTTCATAGAGACTGTAAAAAACAATGTGTCAGTCGGATCATATCAGACACATGTTTTCGGAGGTTTGACAGCAGCAAAATGCATCAAGCACATACCTTTTCCAAGCGGTAACAGTTAACAATCTTACGTGAGTAAGAAAAAAGGAGACTTGACTTGGCAAAGAAAAAACTTAGGGGTTCTGCAAAGGAAAGTGTCTTTTGCAAAGCGGATGCACTTACGTAGGATGATCAATTTCATTATATAAGGAGACACTTTATCTCAAGGATATTTGTTTTTGCGTAGGGCGCGCAGCAGGTTCTTTGATCCATAAAAGGGGTCTCGCGTCGACACTGCGTTTTCACAGCTTGGTTTGTGCTATGCTGACTTCCTAACTTGAGTGGTTTCGAGGTTTTCCTCTGCACTCCCCCTTCAGGCATATGCCTGAACTTGAAAAAGGTCAGCCTGTAGCTCAAGACCCTCGTTCACATGTCGTAGCCGTCAAACTGGTCCTCATAATCTTCGCCTGAGGGCCTGCGGCGGACTTCTTCTCGCACGCCAACCAGATCCAACCACCGAGCTGGGGCGGTTCATCTGCCTCGGTAAGTGCATAGTATGCATTCGCTGCTTCCTGCGTAGGGCCACCTGGAAGTCCCGGCAGCATGGTGTACCCGTCCATGGCAGCTGTTATAGCCCCGCCGCGGTCATCTGAGTTGCCTCGCACATAGCCACCACGATGCACTGGTGCAACCATCGATTGGTCACTTGCATGACTTCCATCTCGGACCCTCGTTGACTCTGGCGTAGAGTAGTTGGTTGTGGTAGTCGGTGGTACAGGCGGTTTCCAACCTGTACCCAGTAGATAGGTTCTCCTCCTGGAGCTGCATCCCAGTCCATGTTTGAGTTGGACAGTGCTTCCAGGACCTCGCGAAGTCCATCCGGCGCATTTGCCCATCTCTCTGCAGGAGGCATTGGAGGAGGTGGCTTCGAGATAGTCTTTGAGGTCGGGCCAGTCTGTCTGAGCTGCCAATTGGTGGCTGATGGTATGGTGGGTGCCACCATGGCTCACGAGGCCATGCTCTTGGCGGGTAGGCCAGTGCTCTCAGTGCACGCGCCACGGGCTTCGCATCGCATGCATGGGAGCCTCTTGACAGGCTACTCGCCGCGTGAGTGAGAGGGGCACTTCCCGCGGCAGGTTCATTTTGGACCCTTCCGTCTTCTTGGTCGGTTCCAATCTTATTGGTTCTTTTTTCCACCGTATGGGTTGATTTGGAGCCCTCACACCGCCGTCACTCGTGGCCTTTGGAGCCATGCCCCCCGGGGATGGTTCATCTTCCCTATCCCATCTTTTCGTGATCTTTCTCAACAGCATTGCACCTACAGCCATGAGTGTTGCCGCTGCGAGATCCACCATTTGCGACTCTGCATCGCGCCTTGCAAACAGCAGCGCTGCCACCGCCACCGCCAACGCACCCTTGAGAATGGTGTAGTCGTCAGCAGCCTCATCGCGGCTCCTCCAAAGCAGGCATTGCTCCTGACATCATGCCAATCGCTCCCGCGTTGCCGCTGTAGTTGCCGTAGTAGGCGCAGTCAACGCTTTGCGCAAGCCGGCCTTTTCCGTGAGCCCTCCGGGTTGAAATTGCTTCAACACCTCGAGCATGATGGCTCCTGCCGTCAGTTTCCTCGAAGCGATGATCTTTGAGTTGAGTGACTGAGGAAGGGATGCAAGAAGAGGCTGTCACGCGACCTTCCAATCTTGAATGGTTTGGTCGAGTCGGAGTGTCCACAGTCAGTCTTGTCAATGGGTCAGAGGCCAGCCAGGTTTTATAGGCCTCGCCAACTTCTGCCATAAGGTCTGACCACCACCTGCCGGCGCCGGTGCTGACATCAACGGGGCAACCTCAGCGATCCAATCGCCACAGCGAAGTGGAGCCTGATGGGATCCTTCTTCCGGCAGCTTCGGTAGGACAACTGCAACTGCACAAAGATCATCTCGTCCTTCATCAGCCCCATCAACCTTCGCCTGTTGGACATGCGCTGCTTGTGTCAACGGTGGAGGTGGCGGAGGAACGGCCCCACCATCCCTCCCCTCTGCGCCGCGTGATCTCCCCTGACGCAGCTTGTCATTCAACTCCGATGCCCACCTCGGTGTCGACAAAGCCTCACCACCACCACGTCGCTCATGTTCTTGCAGGCGCCCACGACGAATCTGAATCAGCTGTTGCTCCAACCACTGGATTCGAGCCGCTTGGAAACTTCCTTGCGTTCCTCCACCAGGACCGTATTCACCTTCATTGACCAAGTCCCAGCTAGGGTTGGCAATTTGGCTCAAAGCACTGCGTGGGCGTTCACTTTGAGCCACTCGGCTGCACCACCCAAGTTGTTCCAGTCATGCTCGCCCCTGCCACCCTTACACCTTAGTGCTCGATCATGTCGGGGATACACCCCGCCTTCGCGTTCTGCAGCATCTTGTAGATGAAGTTCACGTTGACCGCCTCCATCTCGGCGCCCATGCTCACATGGATCATCTTGTGATGACCCATAGGCCTTCACACAGTTGGTCCAGCAGCCAATACTCGTTCCAGGCTCTGGCTATGCGTTCGTTTCCCACTGGGTTTTTCGGGCCACGGCCTGAGAGGAGGGTCAACCACTTGAGGATGAGAACTCTTGGAGAGCCGGGTGCCTGAAGCTCTTGGAGATAGGACCTGAACGTGAGCATGTGGAAGTTCACGACCCCGGATCTGGTCCTCATTTGATGGAGGAGTTTATGGTGGGTAGTTCCACCTGGTGTTCGACGATTCGGATCAAGTTCCATCGGGGTGAACATCTATATGATGTTCCCGCTGTTCAGGGTTTGAAGTGTGACTTGGGTTTTGCTTTTTGGAGCTTATCATGTAGCTATTCAAAGTCTAAAGCTCAGCAAGCTCAACTGCTTCTGAGCCAGTATTGTTGTTAGCGCTGCCTTAGCGCGCAGAGCGGCAGATGTTTTTCTTCTGCCACCTGAGTCATCTTTTAAGCTGTATGCCCGCTATAGCTGTTTGAGTTGAGCCACCTACACCCAATGCATATAAACATAACTGTCTGTGTGAAGGGTCACTTTTGCAAAAGTATATGCTTTTGCGCACTGCGCGTTAGTTGTTTGAGTTGAGCGTTGCGTACAAACTTAAAACCTGTGTGTGTGTGAAGGGTCGCTCTTTTGTCCACTGTGTGTTTTCGGTCGTATTGGCCCTCCTTTACATGTCAAAGACTATGGACCACAAACCAGCTGATTAAAGGTGGATTACATGGCTTGCAGTTTTTACACACAAACCGACAAACCGATGAACACTTCAGTGGACAAAAAGGACGACGGAAACAATTTCCGTGAGAGTTCGAACTTCGCACTGCCGTTTCCCACAGCCTTTTTGAACACACTTGCATCATGACTCCAGTCCAAGTCTTCAAGTGACTAGACGGAACGCTTTTGTAGAGCTCACTTGGGCCACGCTTCACAAAACTAGTCACAGCAGTTTGGAAGAGTTCTAAGTTCTAGGACACTTCGAGCCTGACGCGCGCAAGCGCTACATTTTACTCATGTTCTTTTCTCGCCATTCTTGGTGGGCTGTGAGCTCTACATGCCATGCTGGCCGCGAGACTCGGGAGGAGGCCGGTTTACCCCTCCTCCTCCTCCTCCATCTCCTCACAGAGGTCATCTTCATTCCCCTCTTCCTCCTCCCCTTCAGCATTCTCATCACCCATCGCTCCAAGCGGTTCAGACTGGTCCGGCTTGCATTCACTGGAATAAAGGCGACGAGCTTCTGCCAGCATCCTGTCCTCACCGAAGTTTGTTACTCCGGTCGTTCGAACGAGGTCTCAACAAACAAGACATTCAATCATCATCGCACCGAAACAAGCCTTCAAGTTCTCAGCTGCTTGAACATCCCCATGGGTTCTCACCAGTTCAGATCGAATGGACACCTGAGATACTAAAGAACTTGCGGATACTTGCGGAACATGTCAAACAATGTGGAACATGTCGAACTTGCGGAACTTGAGAACCTTGAGACGTGGAACCACCTAAACACATGCCGGCCGAAAGGCTGCGATCTGCTCTTGGACTTCTTCCGCAAGGCTCGGATCATGATGCATCTGAGTTGGGAAGCTGGTTGAAGAAGGGAAACTGGTGTTTTGTGAACAAATCCCAATTGGGCTCAATTCTCGATAGGACAAGGGGGCAAAAGAACTTGTTTGTTCTTCAACTTGAAGCACCAGGTCCCGTTCTTGTAGCGGCTCTTTGAAATCCCAAGAGACTCCGGCTTTTTCTTTGGGGCGATGTCATCACTGGTCGCTGCGGCAGGGCGTTTCAACACAGTTTTCGCTCTTGGTTCCACTTTTGGTTCCTCTTTTGGTTCCTCATTCTGCATTTTCATAGGCAAGACCTTTTTCGCATCAGCTTTCGGTTTTGGTTTTGCATCAGCTTTCCCTTTGGGTGCCCCCTTGGACTTAGGAGCCAACTTAGGTTTGGCCTTTGGCTTTGGCGCAGGAGTCGATCCCTGACCATCACCATCGTCCGAAATGGCTTCAACTGATGCTAGCACCATGAGATCAAAAAAATCCCTGCGCCATAGCTTGACACGAA